ACGAAATCTATGGAGATCTCCTTCCAGATCCGAGTGGGTATCGGCAGTGGTTTCAGAAGGCCTTGCGTGCCCTCTCTCCAGGACTTGCTCCGTCCGCAGGTGTCACAGTTTCTAACGTATCTTCGGATTAAATTGGTCATGCCTGGCCAAAAGTAGTCCCTTGCGAGAATCTTGTACGTTAGCTCGCGCCCTAGGTGACCAGTGACTAGTGAGTCGTGGGCACTGCTGATGATTGCCGTTCGCAACTTGTCGTTGTCTGGCACCCACTTGCGCCCTTGGTAAAACAGGACTCCACTGTCCGCTAAGCAGTCTTCGATTGAGCACTTTAGGCCTAAGTTCACGGGGAAACGTCTCTCTTAGTCCTCTACTACCTTCTTCGCTCCTTGGTAGACACAATCCTTCGCTGTCGCTTCTTGCTAGAGCTTCTCTAACTTATTCTACTCTAGCACTTTTTTATTTAGTACTCTAGGAAGGAGCTAATCTAATTCTTCTCTAGATAGGGGGATAGCCTCCTCTTCCCGCTGCTGGCTTCGTGTCCTCGTTGCCATCACTAAGATAGCTTCTTCTAGTTCTTCTTCTGTTACCTCCTAATAGGAGTTTGTTGGCTTAAATATTTGTACGAAGCGCTTCTATAAGCGCTCGTCTTCTGCCCTTACAGGCTGGTCTTGTTCTCTTCTTAAGAGCGCGTCGGCTCTCACGTTCTGCTTACCCAGCCAATATAGCAGCTCTAGGTTGTATCTACTAAGTAAAAGCGACTATCTCACCTAACGTTTGTTTAGCATACAGGGTTTTATAAAGTACTCTAGATTCTTGTAATCTATAATCACCTTAAACTTCTTAACTAAACGCAGTTTAGAGTCCTATTCCTCAAGGCATCGTACTACCGCGAGTAACTCCTTGTCGTAGATCTTGTAGTTGCACTTGTGCGCGCTATTCTTCCACAAGAAGAACGCGCAGGGTCGTAAGACTCTATTATCACTGTACTGCGATAGCACTCCGCCTACCGCGTAGCCGCTCGAATCGCACTCGAGCACTGTCTCCCGATCTGGGTCAAACGCCGCCAGCGTTGGCTCTATAATAAAGATCTCTTTTAGCTTGTTAAAGGCTAATTGCTCTTTAGGTCCTTATTAGAAGGGGACGTCGCCCGTAAGTCTAGTAAGAGGTGCGGCTAGCTATGCAAAGTTCTTAATAAACCTTTAGTAGAAGTTTGCGAATCCTAAGAACGATCTTACTCCCTTTACTATCTTCAGTGCCTCCCACTCGCGAATTGCGGCTATCTTGGCTAGATCCATGCTTATCCCCTTGCCTGCTTTAATAATAAACCTAAGGTACTTAGTCGTCTTAACTTCGAACTCGCACTTCTTAATGTCTACTTGTAACCCTGCAGCTTATAGCTTACTAAGTACTTTTTAGACATGCTCTTAATGCTAGCGCAGATCGCTGTTAGTATAGATTAGTACGTCGTCTAGATAAGCTAAGCAGAAGTCGTCTAGGTGTTCTCTTAAGGTCTAGTTAATATATCGTTAGAAGGTACTTAGGGAGTTCGCTATGCTAAAGGGGGTAACTAGCTACTTAAACAATCCAAATCTCGTACGGAAGGCCGTCTTCCACTCATCGCCTAGTGCGACGCGGATCTTGTGGAAGGCTGCGATAACGTCCAATTTCGTGAACTACTTAGCCTTGCTTAAGCTATTGAGCGTCTCTCGAATAAGTGGTAATAGATACTAGTCCTTCTTTGTAATCGCATTTAGAGCCTAATAATCGATACACAGTCAAAGCCCTCCCCTAGGCTTCTTAGCGAACAATACTAGAGCTAAGGCTAGCGAGCTGCTTACGTAGATAAACTCTTTCTTAAGGAGTGACGTAAGCTCCTTTTAGAGGACTAGAAGCTCTCTGCGCGACATACTATAAAGAGGTCCCTATAGCGGTTAAGCATCCCTTAGCTCTAGCTTAATCTTGTAGTCCACTCCTGGCCCTTAGTGCGGTGGCAGCTTCTTAGCTTCTTTTAGGTTAAAGAGCTCGTAGAACTCTTAATACTGCGCTAGTAGTAGTGCTCGTACGTTTACAGGCTTCTTAGGTTGTAGCGCCTTATTAATATCTGCAATCAACGCGGCGAAGATCTAAACGCTGTTTAGAGCGTTCTTATGTCTGCGAACTAGGGCCGCAAACGCTGCAGCGTTGACTTGGCTAACTCCTCCTAGTAGAGCCCCTTTAGTTAACCTCACTTAAATGCCCTTTAAGTAGATAAAAATGCTCTTCTTAGCGGGGGCTACTAACACGTCTTAGTGGTTCATCTATCCTCTACCAAGGTACACGTCCTTACTAGAGGACAAATTCATTACATATGCGTAGGCAGTCTCTTCGTACCTATGCATCTTAAACAAGAATTAGGCAACCTAATTAATCTCTAATAGCTTGCTATTCACCCCCTTGATTATTTAAGCAGGTATTTGAAAGCGCTCTAGATAGTGGTGGTAAGCGAATCTCTTGCTAATTAGTGCATAGCATAGGCATTCGCAGTTAATAAGCGCGACAGCGTTTACTACGTTGTTCACAATAAGATCTATAGTAATTAGTAGAGGACGCATATACTTCTGCTAAAACTAATTCTATTCGCTACGTATCTGCCAATCTATCTTTAGAGGCTCTAGACTAAGACTCTAGTCTAGAGCTACTCTTTTTCCAACTCGCTACTTAGCACCTGATCGACTTCCTCCTGCGGCTTATGTCCAACGTTGCTTGGCGCGGGCCTTGCCTTCTTGACCTAGGTGGCGTTTTAACAGTATTTCGCGATATAACCTAGCTCTCCGCAGCGATAGCAGTTAGGCGGAGGTCGTTGTGGCTTGCCTCTAGCCTTTTGCGCCTAATTAACCTTCGAAGGCTCCTAGTCTATAACGTCTGGACTAGCTTTGTGTTAAGCGGTTGTTGTAGTAGGGCGATCTACCACCTAGGAGCTCGTTGCGCGCAGTTTAACGAGACCTACCTGGTAGAGGTTGTTAGACGTTCTTACTGCCTTATTGACTAGCTGCTCGTACGATAGATTCTTATTAATCGTAGCAAGAGCCTCCTGCAGCTTAGTGTGAAGGCCCTTTAAGAACATACTCTTCTTAGCTGCTTCGCCAAACTGCTCGCCTGACTGAATCTTAAGACGGTTAAACTCTATATAATAGTCTTTTACTAAGAGCTTGCCTTGTTTAAGAGTTAAAAGGCGATTAAGTGCTTTAGACTTCTAGTGTAGGTCGTCAAACTGCTAGTCTATAAAGCTCTAGAGGTCTTCAATGTGGCGTTTACTCTAGTTCTGTATTGCCTAGGGTAGAAGTACATCCGCTGCCTTGCCCGTACACCTACTAACCACGTACTCGATCTAAGCGAGGCTTGAAGTTCCTTTGTACTTATGCTAGAGCTTAGCTTAAGTCTTATATTTAAACGCTACGTACTTTGTTTGATCTCTATTAAATGGTTCTAGGTGCGGGAACTTGTTCCTGCGCGCAGCTAGCTTGGCGATTGCAGCTGCTGCTAGGGGAGGCGTGAAGGCTCTATAGGACGACTCTGAACGCCCCTCAGCTTGGTTACGCTCGAGTGCCACGAGCCGTTCCGTTAGCACCTGGTTCTAGGCTGTTAACCGATTCATCAGCTCCATCATCTGGGCCATGGCATCCTGGTTGGCCTTTGGCGAGCCTCCTTGCCTTGGTGAGCCCTTTCCTCCCACGACGGCTGATCGTTTAGCGACCGCTTTAATCGTTGGCCTAATTGCTGCCTCCTTCTATCCGTCCTCTCTAAGCATTTGTGTAATTTCGCGCAGGATCTCTTTATTTAATACTCCTGCCTAGTTCTTGGTAGCAGCGTACGCCGCTAGCTCTTCCACATTCAAGTTTAGAACGTTAATCTCTATTGCCTAATTCGTTTTGGACGTCTCGTTCTTTGCCTGCTAATATGCAGGGCTTCCGATCGCTCTTCGATCCGCTCGCGCAGTCCTAGACTGCGGCCTACTCCTCGTTAGTGAGGACTAGTAGGGCTTACTTTCGGCTGTCCTTGTTACTAGCTAGAATCTAAACAGCGTTCTGTCGCTGTTGTGTCGCGTCCCTAGGAAGACTCGCGTCTTGCTGTCTCGCTCGTGGGATCTCGTCTCCTATTAAGAGTAATCGCACGGCCTGCACCTCGTCTGATAGAGGATCAACAGGACTTCTCACTACAACGTCCGCTTCTAGCTAACTGTACACTAGGCCCAAGTGGCCTTTAGGTAGTTTATTACGCGACGTTGTGCCTACAGCTTAGCTTTCTAAGACACAATAGGACTTCCTAGATAGGTCCTAGGCGACTAACTCGCCTACTGTCTCTCACGGCTGAACTTCCTGCGAAGCTCTGCCCTAGGTGTACTGTCTTACGACGGTCTACCTTCTCGCTGCACTGAAGGCCTTTCGTACCTATTGCAGCACTAACTTTATTACTAGCTCGCACTAACAACACGCTCTAAAACTTGGTTAGAAGATAGTCTGCCTAAGGCTTGTGTCTAATTAGGATTAAATATAAAATGTAAGAGGCTGCGCTCTAGGGAGCAATCGCGAGGTATATAAGAGGTTGTATTTTATAAGGAGCTATCTACTCTACTTACGTGGTGTTTATTTACTTATCAGAGAAAGGTTATGCCGGAGTATCTAAGCGCGTTGTCTGAGCGCTGCTCGGTCTGAACGTAGTTCAGATGGTGCGCGCGCAGCTTGGCCCGAGATTCCATCGAGGAGCTATCCAAAGGGCGTTCAGCCCGTTACACTTATTAAATCAACCAACACAAAGTTTGCCATTTAAACTATATTATATTTCCTGGAACCAAGCGTGCCGAACAGCCACTTTGGGCGGTGCCCTAGCGCAAGGCTCCCTTCTTAACATGCTTGCAATCAGCATTCCAACGCGGCACAATATCCTCCCGACTCATATCCTCGCGCCTCTCGCCGTCGAAATACATTTCCTCCAGTCAGTCTTGAAGTGAGAAAGGTGAGGTATTGTCAGGTGATGTTCCTTTGATGACAGCCCAGTCGCTTTTCCACCGGTTGCAAATCATCATCAACTGTCTCGAGCATTTGGCGGACGAGAATTGCACGTGTTGTCATGATGCTGTCGAAGAGCGGTTGTCCGATAATCAGCTCAAATACCTAGACAAAAGCATCAGTCGGCCATCAATGCATTGTGTTCAAGAAGCCGGACGCACTAGACAGGCCATACTCCAAAGATGGACGCGATAATCGAAATTGTCACCAAAGACGATTTCAGCGGCGCGAACAGGAAGCCGAGTGTTGAGTATGCCAGGGCACTCGTTGCCAAGGAAAGACTGGCCAAAATCTACAATCTGGATCGATCTGGCCGATGATTCAACATCCATAGGGTGATTAGCAGAGATCATATGAATTGCTGACATCATAGTTCATATACCTGCATGCGCAATCTTCTGCTCGTAAAGGCAGCACAAACCAAGGCAGAGTCTGTTTTGCAATTGTTTTCGCAAGCGCTCCGGGAAGCCTTTCGATACCGGGATGCGCGTCGAGGACATCGGCGACGCTTGGTCCTAACGATTCCAATACGAGACATTCGTGAGTTCCATCTGGACCAAGAATTCGGAAGGAATCTTGCATTGTCATTAGATGCTGGTAGCCAGGCTGATGTGAATGTTTCGCCGCTATGCTACGCAAGACGGTAGTCTCTCGATTCCGATGGTTTAGCTCCGATACTGCCATTTTTACAGCAACTTAGGTCTGATTTCTAGGCGTATGTCAGCGCTGATTGTGGAGATTTATCGCAGAAAGCGAGACTTGGTATCGCGTGCTGCCGGAAGGTCGAGTATCCGCCCCAGCCTAACTTGCGTAGAATCTTGTACCTGCCATTGCTCAGACAGTCCCCCAAATTGAATGGGATGATATCCGCCCTTGGGATAGCGATGCAGAGGCTCAGCATTAATGTCACATGTATGTGTAGACCAATCTATCGGCAGATTGCGCTGGGAAGGTTGCGCAGGCATAGAGGGCAGTGAACGGGTAGGGGCCAGTGCTGACAAAGACAATTTACATGACAGCGCTTTCTGAACTGATATCCTGTGCGGTCGAGCGATTATCCGAGTTACACTCATGCTTTCGCTCTCCCATGCGAGTAGAGCTGGAGAGATGACCAATCATTGCAAAGCGAGTGACAAGAAGATGGAAATCTTGAGATGTGACACCAAGATAATTAGCGCTGTCTTATCGCTGAACCTAGCAGCTACATACAGCAGGACGAATGGAGATGCTTAGTACTGATTATATCTAGCAAGATGGTTTAAGAGGGGGTGCTTTTTCATTTTATGAGTAATTTTGATATACTTATATAATAGCTTGTACAATACTGTAAATATTACACTATGACAGTAGTGAACCACTATACTTGGTATTACATATATAATATGTGACAAGATATATGTACTAATGGGTCATAGACTCGCAACAACAAACTCGCACATCACATCACACAAGCCTGTCTAGTATCTAGAAACCCTAAAAAGAGGATCAAAACTCTACAAACTGAAACATCCATCTGATTAATGCACAGCTAGCAATTCGGACTAACAGAAGCCTGCCAGTAGTGACTATCCAAACGCTCCTCGCACCCGCACGTCTCATAGCCGTACGGCATCAACCTGCTGAACATGCCTCGCTGGCGGAAGCAAGGCCTGCATAGAGAATTTCGATCCGCCTCCTCGTCGCCATGGGCACGCTTGTAAATCGACAGGTCATGCATCCACTCGGTGCCACGTTCATCCCTGTACATGCACACGCTGGCGTCAAAGAGGTGCAGGGATCTGGCAAAACTTGGTGTCTCTGGCGGTTCTGGGCTGTCGGAAGCGTACCGACGGGGTGTTCGAGCGGGGGTCCTGGGCCGAGACGTTGGGCCGAATAACGGGACTTGTTGAGTTGCAGTGTTGGCGCGAAGAGACGAAGGCTGCTGCTCTGTATGCGTGCTGACGAGTGCGGGTGCTACTGTCTGCTCCATCAACCCTTTGTCGCAAACTATATGCACGTCGTCGCTAGGTATAGCCTGGGAGACCACAGAGGGATAGGCATCATTGCTTGAAGCAGTCGCGTTTCCTGTGCCTGGCAGCGTTGGGACACACATCTTTTTCGGCAGTACTTCTTCTCTAATTGTATCCAAACTGCGTTCCCTTTTGCGAGCTACTATACGTTAATGGAAGAGGGTAGACGTCAATGTCAGCGGCGAGGAAGGCGATGAGGTCGTGTGCGAGCTGTTCTTATTGTATGCAAACCATAATTCTATTCTCGGTATATGGCAGGGTGTACGTACAACTGTTTCTTGATTCATGACGAGACAGTGCAATCGTTTCTGGGGCAAAAGTTACGGCAGCTGAAGGCTCGATAGGCGTTGATCTGTCAGAGGACATGAGTGGTGAGTCCATTCGGGCATTTTCGCCATCAGATCGTACTTGTCGTGGAATGTCTAATCTGCCCAGACTAGGTCGTGGCTGGGGCAAAGGGGGTCGCGCATCACCGCCTGGACTGTCGTGGCCGTCTTGGGGAAGGGGGTCGTACTTGACTGTCGCGACGGCAGTGCCTGTGCTGTGATGGCTATCCTCTGGGGTATCATTTCCGTGCGATACTGACTTCAACTGACTTGGAGGGTCGTCATTGGTCTGAGGCGTTGCTGTCTTCTTTGATCGTGCTTCGTCGGCCGCGCGTAGTTTCTGGCGAGCGTCTAGAGCAGCAGATGCACCACCGACCCAGACCGAAGGCGCTGGTCTATCAGAAACTCGACTGGCAGTCGGCCTGTCGTGTTCATCAAATAGTTAGGACATGATGTAAGATGATTGGTGCCTTAATTGAGCTCCTTTACCTGGTACTGCCCTGTAAACTCACAGTGGTGTGCGGAGCTGTTGGAGTGTCGGTACTACCAATCTCACTGAGCAGCTGTCTCAGGAATGATTCAGGGCGGTGAGGGCTAGGCATGTTGAGTGAGAATGCTCATGTGAGTGAACAAGTAATGCAAGGTAGGCAATGCGGGCAGAAACGCGATGTGCTGGAGATATGGCGGAGGAATGAGGTGAGGTTGCATACAACCAGGGTTCAGCTTGTCTAGATGTATTGCTTAAGCTGGAAGGTGTCAATGGCGGCGATGGCAGATACAAGAACAGCAGATACAAGAACGATGCATCCTAGGCAGTCACTCGAGACAAAACTGAACCAACTGGGCCAAAGCAGTGAATGCACAAACACAGGTCATGACGGTGTGAGATTAGCTACGAGATGCCACATAGCTCTCACCTCATATGGTATACTACAAGCCTCGTTCTATCATGCAGAGGCCTTTCCGTTGCGCCTGTTCGTGTCGTGCAGTGGTCGTGTTCTTCATGACTCGGACATTTCAGTGTCCTCGGCCTTGGCCAGGCCGTGTTCCTTGAGCAGGGCGTCGATCTCGTCGGCTCCCCAGAGGTGGTGGTAGATCTTGCCCGTCTTGGTCTTTCCCACCGTCGCAAATTCAACTGCATACTGTCAGCACTGTCTTTCGTAAGCAGCGTCTCAGCATACTCTTCTCGCTGCTCAGCTTGGTCGAGTCCATTGTCTTGCTCAGCACCTTGACGGCCAGCCCGCATGCCTCCTTCAGATCACACTCTTCCTTGTAGTCCTGCTTCAGCAAGCTCTGCGCAGAAGCATTGTTTGCGCCAACACTCGTTGCCTTCCAGCCGCCGTAGTTGCCACTGGGATTGCTCTGGTACAGCTGGAACTGCCGCTGGGGGTCCCAACCGGCATAGATGAAGGACACGCCAAATGGCCGGAGACCGCCGTGTTGCGTGTAGCCCTGCTTGAGATCGCATAGACGGCGGACGAGCTGCTCGCAGGGAATGTCTTCGTTGTAGGTGAGGAGGTAGCGCTGGGCGGCTTGACGGGCGTAGTTGATGAGGATGTTGGCATCGGCCGTCATTCCCGCGACGGCACAGATCATGTTGCTGTATGCTTATGAGCATCATTGCAGTCACAGTCGCACTGCATTACGCACTCGTTCAGGATGTACAGCTTCTCCGCCGATGTGTCCTGCTCCAACAACTTGCTGGTGACCTTGCGCTCTGCAGCGAGCACAATGCCATCCTGGGCCAAGATGCCTAATGCGGTTCCGGCGTGCGAGATAGCTTCCAGCGCGTATTCGACCTGGTAGAGGCGGCCTTCGGGCGAGAAGATGGTCGTCTATGCACTGTTAGTTGCCGTGCTGCCGCCTGCTACGCTGAATACATGCCCTGGAATCGTATCTCCGCGACATGATTGCACTCTGCACAGATGGTCTGGGGGAGGTTGAGGAGGAGTCGCCAGCAGGACAAGGGAGAGAGAGGGTGGTGGGGAAGTCGGCGTGGGCTGCTGGTGTTGCTAAGAGCTCCAGGCACAAGCTCCTACGCAGCGCGTCGGCGATTCCGCTGTGCTTGGCGCCGACCACATTTTGGTTCGACGAGCCCAACACCAAGCCGCGACAACTTCTGCTCTCCACCAGACTGCCGATTGCCGGACGCTCAGATCTGCGAAATGTCGGATATACCCGTGCGACCGCCTCCGCCAGCGCCTCCGCTGCCTCCGGGCTGGACAGAACACAAGGCGCCCTCTGGTAGCTATCGCTCTGCCTGCGTCATATGCCTCACTCACGCTTCTCAGGACATTCCTACTACTACAACAAGGAAACTAAAAAGTCGACGTATACGCGCCCTGTGGCCCAAGTGCGCCCATTTCACCAGCCACCGCCGCACACTGCGACCCCAGGTTACGGTGCCAGTTATGACGCGCAAGCGACACAAGCTACCCTGCAGCCCCAATCCTCGCTCAACGACTTCATATTCGCAAGCGCGCCAAAACAGTTTCCCCGCCATGGCGGAGCGCAGCAGTCAAGAGGTGGGCAGGGTGGAATGCGCGGAGGACATGGCAACTTCAACGACAGACGACGAGAGCGTGACGACCGGCCCAAGCACCGCCAAGATATCCCCAATTGCGCGCCGTGGGTGCTGGTGAGGACCAAGTTTGGACGGCGCTTTGTGTGGAACAAGGAGACCAACGAGAGCTTCTGGAAATTCCCGCCCAACGTCATGTCCGCCGTGATTGAATTCAACCGCAAGGAGCGCGAGCGCAAGGAACGCCGGGAGCGTGGCGAGCCAAGCGACGTGGAGGAAGAGGATCCTGCCATGGCCGAGATCGAAGCGGAACTAGCAGCCGCCGAGGAGGAGGTCGAGATTGTTGAGGTGGACGGCGACGCGGACATGGAGAACGACGAGGAATACGAGGAGGTCGAAGTGACAGACGATGAGGGCGATCCAGGCAATGCATCAAAGCGGCAGCGCACCGAGGAGCCCAGCGGAGACCAGCCGCGAGAAATGGGCGAAGACGACCTCGCATGGCAGTTGGCGCAAATGGAAGAGATGGAAATGGATCAGGGCTATGACGAGCAGTACGACGACGAGGAGCCTGCCTTGTCCGAAGAGGACTGTAAGGCGCTGTTCAAGGAGCTGTTGGACGATTTAGGCGTAAACCCCTACACTCCCTGGCACAAGATTCTCGACGAGGGTATACTATACGACGATGAGCGCTACAAAGCCCTTCCAACCATGTCTGCACGCAAGGATTGTTTCAACGAGTGGGCCCGAGACAAGGCACAGGTTCTCAAGGAAGAAAAGGCAAAGCAAGCCAAGCGCGACCCCCGAATACCGTACCTGGCTTTCCTGGACCAGCACGCAACACCAAAGCTCTACTGGCCCGAATTCCGCCGAAAATACAAAAAAGAGCCAGAGATCAAGGACGCGAAGCTTGCAGACAAGGACAAGGAGAAACTATATCGCGACCACATCAAGCGCCTGGCCATGCGCTCGTCGGACCTCAAAGCCGATCTCACCGCGTTGCTGCGAGCACAGCCTCTGGCGCTGCTGAACCGATCCACGACTATCGACACGCTGCCTCCTCCCGTGCTCAGCGACCTCCGCTACATCTCGCTCGCGCCATCCACGCGCGAGCCGCTAATTAAGACGTACATTTCCACGCTGCCACGCGCACCCGAAGGCGCAGCTTACTCGGCCGAAGAAGAAGCAGAACGAGCAAAGAAGATGGCCGAGCGAGAGCGCAGAGAGAAAGCCCTAGCAGACCGCGAGCGACGGGTACGAGAAGAGAAAAGAAGACAAGAGCGCGACCTGGCATACGGCAAGGGCAGGTTACGAGAGGAGGAGGAAGAAATCCAACGCGCGCTGCATGTGGGGAAACACGGGCTCAAGGGCCTTTTGAAAGACGAGGACTAGTATACCCCAGTTGATATCAATGCATACATCTGAAGCCTGCCATCTGCAATCCATACCATCTGCAATCCATACAACTCGTACAGAACAATATAGCCCGAGACGAACAAAAAAAACAATCCTTTGACTCCATGGCTCACCGCTTCAAGCCTGTGGCTGTGCGAGCCACCCATATACACTAACTACATCATGTCCGCCTTTTCCCATACCGCGCGAGACATGGCGTACAATCTGCGCCTAGACTCTACCCAAGTCCCCCAACCAACAAACCAGGCCTACGTACCCTTCTTCTACGTAGTCTTATTACTCTATTTTTTATTTTCCTAACCTTTTTTATTTTCTTAGACCGAAAAAAAAAGTTTATTCGTCTATACTATTGATTCATATGTATTTTCCATTTTCGAGGGCAACCCTGCTATGCCCCCCCCCCCCAAAACTTTATTTTGTGCTATTCATGACTACTTGGGTAGCTTGCTAGTGTTGCTTTGCTTTGCTTGCTTGGCTCGCTGATGCTTGATTTTTGTTCTGCGCACGTGTGTTTGGGGGCCTGCCCGCGCACGTGTAATTCAACGGTCGGCGTCGCAGCCAGCAGCCGTTGGGGGGCGGGTATATCCGAACGGCATCATCTTGTTTTTTATTAATTTTTTTCACTTTTTCTTTTCTCCCATCGACGACGACGTTGAAACCTCAGCTCAGCGGAAATATTTATTATCTGATTGTTTTTTTGTTTTTGTTTTTGGCTGCTTACGTCTTGGACAATGAACATGGTGTATGTCGTCATTCTGCGGGCGATGCGAGTGCGAGAAAAAGGGAACATGGGATCGGTAATGCAAGAGCAAGGATGGCTACATCATACATACCAAACTTTAGCCTACTGCTACCACTACCCTACCCTACCCTACCCTACCCTACCATATGATGACTACTTGCTTATTCACTAGGTGTACACACAGAACTCGAGTGTAACTGGCCCCGTGTAATTCAAGTCGCAGCGAATATTCTTACCCAGGTCTTCGCGCACAGCACCGCCAGCACCGATAACCAGCACGGTCCGCCCGTCTTCCAGGCGCCTTCACACTAGTATAGATGCTGTCTTGCGGGCATTGCGTCAAGCAGCAAAGACGGTTCTGACAAGTGTATCCCGGGACTACAGTATGCTAAGCGGGGGGTGGCAGGGGGGTGGGGTAGTGGAGGCATGTCTCCAATAGTTAGCGGCGAGTAAGGATGCTTGCACAGCGAGTCGCAGTCGGAATCGATAACCCTGCGTGCGCCCAAAACGGCTCCGATTGCGGCAAATTGCAAAGCGGTCAAGGGGAGTACGGAGCCAGATGTGTTTGGCGTAATGCAGCGATTGATCAACAGTACAGTATGGGCCTCGTTGGGTCGCAGAGGAAATGAGAGGGGCGGGGCTTTGGAACGAGGGCGGATTGTATGCGAGACTGGATACTTGTTATCTCGGCACTCTGACGAAGAAACATGTGAAGACGGAACAAAAGTTAAAGAGAGAGATCGAGAGAGATAGAAAGACAAGGAAACCCTCGGTTGACTGATTCCCCGGTTGGCTAGTTTGGAACATCGGATAACCGCACCCACCCTTCGGACGCATGGCCGTTGCTTTGCACCCACAAAAGCGGCCTCGCGGGCTCTGAGTAGAAACGTCATCCCCACTTCGCGCGTCGGACGGAAGAGGCCATGGCCGTCGGCAGGTGTGCGGGTCTGGCCCCCAGCCCGTCTCGAGCCAGAAAAGGTCCTGTGGCTAAAGTATTTTCCCTTCGCCTTGTTTTTTTCTTTACTCTTGTTTCCTGTCGCTGTTTGTTGCCTCTTTGCTTGGGTTACCTGCACGTCGGTTCGCCTTTTCCGTTGCGTTCGAATCGGATAACCACGTCGTTTTTCCTTGACACCGTGAACAGCCGGTGGTGTGTTAGCTAGGCGTGCATACGCAAGTTGCTTGCTTGCTAGGATCGAATTATATCCGGAGCGGGAACAAGGGGGGTCAGGTGCTGGCAGAGCGGGCCTTGAAGAAAAAGATAGTATCGTCGGGGGATTTTTTTTTCTGTTAGGCGCTGTGAGCCAGGCATCTTTGGTTTGAGGGAAAAAAAGATCGAACAAAGCATACGACGGTGGATCATCGACTGGAATATTATACGAGATGGAATCGGTGAAACGGACCAGTATGCATTCAGCGCAAGACGCAAATGACGACGGTGGATCGAGCGACTACGAGAAGAGAAATGGATCGGGGAGCGACGCCATCGAAGAAAAAGACATAGCCATGCATGCCAGAGAAGAAGAGCACCTGGCAGCATCCGGCCCTGACATGGACCCGACGAAACCAGGTCGTCGCAGTCAGAGCCGGCGCTCGCAAGACGGACGAAGCCTAAAGACCATCAGATCGCACCATTCGAGAGCTGGAGGAGACGGCTACACCTGCCTGGACCCCGAAGCCAATGCCGGCGGCGCATCGCGAGCCAAACCGGGCGGCGCTGTAACAGAACAGCCGTATCTAGTCACGTGGGACGGTGACGCCGACCCCGAGAACCCCAGGAGCATGAGCAAGCTGCGGCGGTGGGCCATTGTCTTGATATGCTCGGCCAGTTCGCTTTGCGTGTACGTTGTTAACTTCAGACGTGTGCGACGCTCGCATGCAGGAAAGGGGGGGGGGGGGGTAGGACACCAAAAGACTGACCATGTAATCTAGGACATGCACGTCGTCGCTATATACGTCGACGTACAGGCAGCTGGAACCGCAGTTCGGGGCTTCTCGCCTCGTCTGCACACTGGGCCTGTCCATGTTTGTAGCTGGGCTCGGCACAGGCCCCATGGTGCTGAGTCCGCTGTCCGAGGTGCGTTGCCAGCATGCTGTCGACACTTGGACACACATGGCTGCTGAGACTATCCTGCTGACGCACGCTGCAGTTCTTTGGGAGACGCCCCATTTACATTGGCTCCTTCACCTTCTTCCTCATCTGGACGATCCCCTGCGCAGTGGCAAAAAACATCCAGACCATGCTGATCGCGCGTTTCCTAGATGGCTTGGCTGGCTCAGCCTTCCTCTCCGTAGCCGGGGGAACAGTGGGCGACATGTTTGCGAAACACGTTAGTCAATCTTCCTCTTCTCTTCCCAATTGCTGGTCGTCTGACGCAAGCACACACAGGAACTCTCAGCACCAATGATGGTGTATACGGCGAGCCCCTTTGGTAAGACACACTGGGACTATTGAATCCCCCACTCCCCACCCTTAGAAAAGCTCGTTGCTAAGCAGACGCAGTCGGACCCGAAGTGGGCCCTTTGATAGGTGGCTTTATCATGGAGCATACTACGTGGAGATGGTAAGTGCTTATGGAACCTAGCTGCAGCAACACGTTCCCACCCCACCTTGCGACACTGCATGTGCAGACCAAGTATATGACATTGGTCGTACTGCGAGGTGACTCCTTTTTCAGGAGCTCGTATTCATGACGAGATGGTTGTTGTTTGCTTGGGCCAATGGCATTACGCAGGCCCGGTGTTAACGAGAGACGGCAGGTGTTTCTACTTGCTCATCATCTGGTCTGGAGTCCAGGTAAGTAACATTGATACTTTGTACGCCGTGTATGCATCAGGACTAATGCTGCGTTCCCCTACCACCCACAGCTTGCCCTCATTGTCTTCTTCGTCCCTGAGACGTATCACCCTGTTCTTCTGCGCCGCAAGGCCATTCGCCTGCGCAAAGAAACAGGCAACGAGGAATGGATAGCGCCGATTGAGAAGCTCGACCGATCCATTACCAAAACAGTAATGTGGTCGTGCATCCGCCCGTTCCAGCTTCTGTTCTTCGAGCCTATGGTATGTTTTTTTTTTGCCTTTGCCACAGTGTTGTAAACTTTTTTGTCGTAGAACTGACCATGGGAACTGGAAAAAAGTGCCTGAATCTCTGCTTGTTATCCGCCATTCTCCTCGGTATCTTGTACCTGTTCTTCGGCGCTTTCCCCCTCGTCTTCGGCAACAACCACGGCTTCACCCTCTCGCAGACTGGCCTTGCCTTCCTGGGCCTGCTGGTGGGCATGCTCACGGGCGTGTCGTCAGATCCCATCTGGAGACGAGTGTACGGGAGACTTGTGCGACAGCGCGAGGAGCAAGGAGGCCAGGCCGGCGGCTCCGAACCAGAGTTTCGGCTCGCGTCGACCATCGTAGGCGCCTGGGTCGTTCCTATTGCACTGTTTGGTAAGAAGGTCTCCCTCCGCGGGAGAGATATGTGAGGGAAAGGTTTGATGACAACGAGAGCTTTCTAACCAGTGTTTAATGCAGGGTTTGGCTGGACTACCTACTCATCGGTACGTTGGTTTTGTTTTGGCGGGACAAGTATGCACGTTTCCAAGGCTAACATCCTGGTCTCTGCAGGTTCACTGGATAGGTACGGCAGCGTCGCGCATCTTGTTTTTGAGGTGCAGTAACTGATTGACCATGACACGGCAGTTCCAATAATCTTCTCGGCAATATTTGGCCTTGGGTCAGTCGATTTGCTTCTTTTTTTTTTCCTGTCTTTCTTTCTTTCTTTTGGCTTGTTGCAATTGTCTCGTACTCGTATCATGGAACTTGGCAAAAAGAAATCAAAAGACTAACCCACGCTGTCTATGACGTAGTGTGATTTGGGTGTATTCAGGGGTCTTCACATTCCTAGTCGAAGCTGTAAGTTTTTTCATTTTTTTTTACCACCGCTGCCCGACATCGGACCAGGCTCTTGGGTACAGAAATGCTGACCTCGCCGAACAGTACCCTGTATATGCTGCATCGGCTCTGGCCGCCAACAGCTTTGCGCGGTCGTACTTTGCTGCGGCCTTCCCGTAAGCTAGCCGTGGCCTTGTGGTAGAGAGCCTGACTAACTCATGACATAGACTATTTGGTGTTCAGATGTACAACCGTAAGTCATCTAGACGGGTCAGCATGATGAAAGAGCGGTCACTAATCTGGTCAAAGGTCTCGGCTACCAGTGGGCAACAACGCTGCTTGCGTTCCTGGCCCTGGCCATGGCACCGTAAGAACGACCCAGGGCAATGGCTCGAAGAAGCACTAATGCGTTGGTGATGCAGGTTTCCCATCCTGTTCTTTCGCTACGGCAAGCGTCTCAGGGCAGGCAGTCGGTATGCATCAGCATAGGGGGTGGACATGTCGAGGGATGGGGCGGGGGATGGGCATGTGGCAGAAATGAGTGGGATAGGCCTAAGAATAGAGAAGTGACACTGCATCTGGATATGCCATGGTGTTTATTGAATCAGGGATGTTGCGCCCACACGTGAGACGACATGAAGCAGGCTGACTGGGCCCTTGTGCGACGGGGCATGGAGCGCCACGAGGGCTGCCACGCCAGCTCGAGGGACGGGGGCGACACAAGAGAGCGAGATGGCGGCTGCGGATGGTACCGCTACCGAGGGCGGTGCTGGCTGTGCGGCCAAGGTGTGCGAGGGAAACGTGGTCGGCAAGCCAGAGACGCGGTCGGTGAGACATTGGAAGGGGGGGAGGGGGGCGACGCGGTGCTCGCGAAGCGTAGACGAGGTCCATGGAGCGAGTGTGATGATGGCAGTCAGTAGCACCAAGGCGCCCACAGGCTGAGGGCTTGAACGAGTGAGGTCTGGCGCCAAGGCGTCGCAAAGGCCCAGCGTCCACTTTGACCCCCGACTGCATGCATGGCCTGCAGCCGAGTTGACGGTACTGGACGGGGGGGGGGATGTCGACGGGCGGGTGCTTATTGGGCGTTGCGCCGTGTGGCCTGACTGGTGGCTGTGAGGATGACGAGGGGTGGAGAGCGGGCACAAAGCGGGCAAGATTGTCGAGTGGGCGCGGGCGGGCAATGGCCATCGGTGCGTGCGTGTGCGTGCGTGTGCAGAGTGAGGCTGTGACGATGGCGATCGCAGACAGGCATGGGGCGGGGTGGGATGGCAGTGGGATGGTGATGGCAGTGGGATGGTGATGGCAGTGGGAGGGCGAGGCGAGGCGAGGCGTGGCTGGTGAGGCGAGTGCGAGTGGCTTGTGTGATGGCGCTAGCGCGTGTGCTTTGGGCGGTAGCGCCAAGCACGCCGTCTACCGGCCGACAGGGACCGAGGCAGGTGCGAGTGGGAGCGAGGGTGTGGGTGGGCCGCGCCTTCCAGCAAAGCTCGCCAGCCAATTGCGGGGAAGCGCATGTGCGCGCATCTTCAACAGAGAGCTCCAATATACCACCACACACGACACCACGCACACGCACACAGGCACACGACCACGCCCACCCCCCAGCGCCGCCCGCCGCCCTGTCCTGCCCGGCCCTGCCCTGCGCTGGCCTCGCCCGCCCGCCCTCGCCGCCCGCCGCCCGCCGCCCGCCGCGCACAGAGAGCTGCCCGCCGCGCTGCAAACGTCTTCTTCGCACACGGCCGCGGCCGCCAAAGCTAGTCGATAGCACCCTCGGATCTCGCTTCGACCATTACTACTGACTACTTGCCGTCGCCGCAGCCGCAGCCGCAGTCGCCGCAAGCAAGCAAGCTCCTGGCTAGGCAGCCCCGGACCAGCGCTCGCTCGCTCCTGCCCTCCTCGCGCCGATTGTCGCTTCCTTCTTCGCCCTGTACCACAACCACCGCCCTACTGTGTCGCGCCTTCCCTGCTCTGCCCTCGAAGCGAGCACGCCTCAGCCGCCACTGCCACTGCTCGCCCTCACTCTCATCTCCCGTGCCCTCGTCCACACCCAGCACGCTCTCTCTCTCACACACACGCACACTCACACGCACACCCCCCGGCGCACTTCGTAGAACCCCAATCTCGCCCGCGACCCACCAGCATGGGCAGCGCGTCTCGGTAGCATCTTGCTATCAAACATGATTCTGTGTGCTCCTGGAATGCTCCCTCGATTACATGGACCCCGGCTCCGTACCACGCCCGTACTGCTGCATACCTGTCCCCCGGATTGAAGTGTGCTCTCCACCGTCTGGGTCCCCTGCATTGCTCGTCATTGGAGTCCCTCCGAGTGCCACGGCAGCGCCCATCCCAAGCAGCCAACGCACGCGTGATCGCTCTTTAAAACACGCAGCTGGAACGCCTCGTCCCGTGCGCCCCCAGAAGCATTGGCTGAGCCGTTTTGCTGGGAACACCCCAAGATCACTCCCCACGGCTGCACGCCGCACTCCACGACAGCAGTCTGTGCTTGGCCCCCAGTGCCGGCGCGCTCAAGAGAGGGGGATATCATGACGACCTCAGACGCCGAAGATGCCTCTCCCTCGCCCGAGTACCGGAGTGATTTGGACGACGACATGGCTGCCGAACAGAATGCCGACCGCCAGCCAGGCGACACTTCGCCCACGCAGAAGCCTGCAAACAGCAAGCCCAATGCCAAAGATCCCCTGCGCCCGCGCCGCAAGAAGGCTCGGAGAGCATGTTTTGCCTGCCAGCGAGCCCATCTGACATGTGGTGAGTACCTGCATTGCGTTGGTGTGTGTGTGTGTGTGTGCGGAGTGGCCATATGGGTCTTTTTCTGTGCCATGACTGAATTCTCCCGCCTCCAAGACTAACCAGAACCCCGACAGGCGACGAAAGACCTTGCAACCGCTGCATCAAGAGAGGTCTCCAGGACCACTGCATGGACGGCGTGCGCAAGAAAGCAAAGTATCTACACGATGCGCCAGACGGCGCTCTCATGCCTGGAGTAGGCGGTCACTACCCGTACATGAATGGAAATCGGCCAACTCCGCTACCAAGTCAGGACACGCAAACCGTCGCTGTCTCGCCGCAAAGCAACATGTATGCTCAGGCACAGCCCGGCACATTCTATCCACCCAACTCGATACCAGCCCAACTGCCGGTCACGCAAGATGCTCGAGGCTTCAGCAACCAACAGTCGCCAATCTCCCCGCCTTTTACCCAGCCGCACCAGGCCGCGGCACAAAACGACCCAAGCACGTTACCTCAGAGTCAGCAAGGTCAGATGCAGCAGTTTGGACCCTTGTTTGACCCAAGCGATCCGGCCCTCTTCAACTTTGACATCTCTAGTCTCAATTTTGGGAACCACTATGGCGCATTAGAGTTTGGCATGCTTGGCCACATGTCATCAGGTGCGGTAGAAACCCCGCACGACAACGGCATGTTGAATACCATCAATGGTCCTGTCAACATGTACAACCAACCGCTGCCCTCCGGCTACGCTGACCGAAACAACACGGCAGCCGCGATGGCGTTCGGCCCGAACAACTTGGCGTCGGGCGAATGGCAGGACTCGCAGTCGCGGCAGGGCAGTATGCATGTGCAGACGCCAAATAATGCTTCGGTCGGTGCCAATCAGGATCACCACGGTCATCGAATTGACAGCCTTGCCGGGCCTCATGCATTTGCTATTGGCCAAGGACCCTCCACCCATGCATCGGCTAGTCCGGCGTCGACGGACGCATCCAACAACTTTGAGGGTGACAACCCGCTGGCATCTGCCGCATTTTTTGCCAACGCCCATCGGCCCCATGCACAACGCTCGCCGTTGATCAACCGACCACAAAAAGAAAACAAGCACCCGAACAGTGCGCTACAATCATTGCATGCCAATGGCATTCGCAAGCGCCAGCGCGATACCAAGAGCATCTACCAAGGCATCACCAAGCCCTATGACTATGTCAAGGGCTATCATAGGCTGTATCAATTGATCGACAAGAAGTACTCGAGACCATGGGTTGCAAAAGCTCAGCAATACTTGCAAAATTACCGGCCAGTGCTTCTGCAGGTTCGCGAAGAGCTCAACAGAGATGACTTGATCCACCAAGAAATGGGTCTTCAGCGACATCTGATGACTCTGCAAGAGCACTTTGCAGAAGTCGGCACCCCGTTCCTCATCTGCCGGCGCTCGGGGGAGATTGTTGGTATAAACAAGGAGTTTACTATACTTACTGGATGGAAGCGTGAAGTGCTTCTAGGCCACGAGCCAAATCTCAATGTCAACACTGGCGCCAACCGCGATGTGGGTGAAAGCGACCCGTCGACGCAGAATACAACACCCAACATAGCCGCCCAAGACAATGAGGTGGCCACACCTAGCGTTAATATCATTGAGCTCATGGATGCCCGATCGGCGCTCGAATTCCTGCAGCACTTTTCCGAGCTCTGCTACCAGGACCCTCGTGGCTACGCATCCCAGCGCGTAAACATGCTCCGGTACCAGACCAAGGCGGACGTGGACCGCCTGCAGGAAATGAAGAATTCAAATGTAGGCGACGCAAAAGTTGATCCGCTCGTCAAGATGGAAGGCGGTGCTGTGCATCAGGGCGAGAGCGCCATGCAGCGACTCGGCGCCAAGAACGGCATGGTAGACTGCATGATTTGGTGGCATATCAAGCGCGACATTTTTGATATGCCGGTGCTCGTATGTATGAGTGTGAGTTGAACCTTTTTTCGTTTCATTTGCCCTTGGGAGAATTGATGTACTAATGCTGGTTAACTAGGTAATGCCTGTTTTGGACAAGGGCCTGCAATGAAGAGCGCGGCCTCAATATGCGTAATGTACAAGATTTAGCTCTTTTTTTTATTTGGTTTGTCTTTTCATCACTGTTCATATTTTGGACCTTTATCATGGAAAGTGGACGAGTTGATGGTGGTTGTGGTGATGGGAGTTATGGAGATTCATACGTCGATTGTGGTATGCCTTTGTCATGCGATGGATACAGTCATGTGTTGATGTCGGCAGTGGTGGCGGAAGTAAGTAAGTATGTGTGTTTTTTTTCGTTAAGAAAAATGTTGGTGTATTGTGTGTTTTATGCATAGTTTTGTTCTTCTTCTACTTCTTCTTTTTTTGATTTCGCTTTTTCTTATCCTACATTCGGATACACGGGTGCAACATATGTATAGAGAGAAGGCTAGATGCTGCTTCGTTGTGTAGCTAGCCCCCCCTTCTTTTTTTTTTGAGATGCTCATGCCATGGGAAGCAGAGAGATACATACATACACAGGGAGAGAGAGAGGGATTGGGGATAACGTAATAAGGGCAGTTCTTTTTTCTTGCTTGACGGAAGAGTTCCTGCGGTGCCGTTTGGAGTGTTTGATTGTTTGTACACGATTGAATAGAGTCGCTGGTTGAATGCGCACGGGGATACCTGTATCGACTGGGTGTAGAGTTAATACATAGCTTTAGCAAATCCATACTAAGAACCTTTGCAGTCGTCTTATTGGACTTGTACTTGTCTTTTTGAATGATGCTTTCTACCCTCTAGCATGTCTATCACACCGGAAATTAATAATCTAGTTCCAAACCACCACGCACCCCAAAATGCTATGCCCTCTGCCTTCCCTCTAGACAATGGCGCATCAGTTCATCATCTGACTCACCACCACCTCGTCCTTTTGCCCCGCCTGCTCCCACCGCGCATTCGCACTCGCATCCGCGCCGCCGCGCAACCACTCATCCGTCTTCCATGCCTCGTACGCGTCGCGCGCAAGACTCCGCTTCGCAACTCGGATGTCCTCGCGGATATCCTCGACCAGCGCCTCCTTGCTCACGTAGTCGTACTCTGGGCGGATAAACCCGAGAATCATAAGACTCAGGGTTGCGCCGTAGAAATCCCGATCGAAGCGATGCAGAATATGGATCTCAATGCTGCGCGCAGTGTTCTTGTAGTACGGGTTGTAGCCGATGGAGAGAACAGTCGGGTACACTGTTTCGGGGGTGGGCGCCGCGGACGAGTAGTCGAGGTCGGCGACGGCGTGGCTTGAGGATGGCGTCGGCACTGATGTATCCGACGTGGCGCTCGGGACGCTGGTGGCTGTCGCGCTGGAGACGGTGCTGGTGTTGAGCGTGCACCAGCCGTAGTAGATGCCGGATTCGAGGTCCTCGTGGCCGCCGATCGAGAGCCCCGACAGCGGGATGTTGGCGGTTGGGATGCCGAGCTACGGGGCCGAATGCGTTAGTTGGGCGACATGGCAGTGGTGGCCATGCGGCCGGCTTTTATAGTATCGTGTCTTGAGTATCAAAGGGGCTGTGGAACGTACCTCTTTGCTGCCGCGCCCAAAGCCCTTGATCACCGGGCCTCGCAGCTTTAGTGGAAAGGGTGGCTGAGGGGTATCGGGACCCGCGATGGGGTCGCGCGGACCGTCGGGACGCCCCATTTTGTATTCTGTTGGCGGGGGAAGTGGTAGGCTGTGGAAAAAGAAATACTCTACAGGTGTTAGGTGTTAGGAAGCGCGACTTGATTTTTTTTCTAGAGGGAATGACGGGTGAATTGGGAGGTTTGAAGTACTAACTTTCTAGTCGGCATGTAGGGTCCGATCGGAATGCATGGTGGGGGGGGGGGGGC